GAAAATTTGTAAAATATAAATTTTTTCAACATTCGTTGACCTCAGAATATTCCGATAGTTTTTGTTCTGACCCGCCTACAGCGGTGTGACCAAAGGTTGTGCGTTGAGACTAAAGGTAGATTGTCTACATTAGTCTCTGATACAGGTACGAGGTCATGAAATTGGACCATTAAATTCTCGAACTGTCTCAATCCCTACTCGATTATCACAGTAATTAGGCTTGGAAAATTTAGGTCCGAGTGATAGTGCCTCAATTTGTAGCTTACTGAGTTTAACGGATGAACGGTTGTGTACTTACGTCTCCGGGTTCCCCATCTTACTTGATAGCATCTACTACTGACTAACGTGCTATATCACATTTCCTGGAATTTACCCACTTTTTCTAATTCCGAGGGGCGCGACATAGCGGAAGATTGAGTGTGTACTTGGTAGTCGATTAAATGTTGCTATTGATTTCATTAAACAATTGTTTTTGCACAACCTGTTTTGATGATAATAGGATAAAATGGTTAGAGGACTGCCAGCCGATGCAGAAAGGTTTGAATAGCTTCGGATATGGTCGAGCTATTCGGTTACAAAACTATCTCCACCTGTTCAACTTGGTCTAGCACGACTTCCTCGCAGTTGGAATGACCTGATTTCTCCAAAGACGAACGAAAGTACATTTTCTGTGAGCTACCGAGTGAGGATGAAGGTTTATATGGGATGGGTGGGGTCTGCCAATTCGTCCACCGGGGAAATTATGCCAGCTATATATCCCCTGAGCTACATGGTCGACGATCATTAACTTGTGGGAATCCCTCTATTAGTTCAGAGTATTATATCTGGATTAGCCTATTAGATCGTCCACAGGTACCAGGCACTGTTGATGTTATATAACGGCGTTGATCTTATGAGCTTCATATGAGAACTAACAAAACCGGAGGTAACTGACCTTGGTCGGTTGAGTGAGGAAGATACTCCCGCAGAATTAGATCGATAAATTGGACACCATACTCAAGTGCGAATAGTGGCACGGATTGTTGCACGAGCGGGTTCAGTGTAGGCCCTCAATAACCTGGCGAGTAAATACCGTTGGGGCCCGGGGCGGTAATTTTGAACTAAATTCAATTCTCTATACACTTTTGACATTCAACAACACAATGGATAACATGCCTTGCAATGCCAATCGGATACAGGGATAGTTCAATCTGAATTTCACCTAAATATCAAAAATTAATATGAATTCATTGACCGGCTAACGGAAATTCGTTCTTTTCCATTATGATTCCCCGATCGACTACTGCAATCCCAAGCAGCCGATAATTACAAATTATAACTTTTCCACTTGGCTTCGTTACATAGTTTCACATCCTTGTTGCATCTTTTCACGTTTGCTTGGTTCTTAGTGCTCAGCGAGAGTGGGTGAAAGTGATAAGAATGACTCACAGCTAACCATGGCCCTGCAAATAATGGTAGCTCTGTACCGAGTGCTTTATTGGATATCTATTAAAAATAATGATGAAATTCGATCAATGGTTGCTTGATCAATAACTTTCTGCTACTGAAAGGTGAGTCACCGTCAAAAGAGAGATCATGACGATCCTCGGGATAAAGGTCCAAATTGACATCTGCGGGGCCACCGGTATAATATTATTTAACTTGAAATGTGATCTTTATGGTTTGTTAAACTCCAAGAGAGTGATATGGGGATGGATAGCCTAACCGATAGGGGGTTAATTCCGTCGAGAGTTTTGTTTTAACTGGGGTCAAGTACAACGTGAATTTTTCTCAATTGTATCGTCCCCATTTGGACAGATTCCACGGAACAAGAAAAAATACTTGTCAGCATGTTAAAATCCCAAGTGAGTGAAGCCATGCAACTGGCCCAAGAACAGACACGAATGAAATCGCCCCGAACAGCCGAGGAGTTGACTGATATAGCCAACGGTTCACAGTCGACCGTCTCCATGCTCAGCGTCCAACACAAACGTCCGGTGTCCTTGATTCCCCAATTCCGTAAGGCTACACTGCCAATCATCAATAAAAATGGGGACATGAAAGAAGGAGTGGTGGAAATCACAGTTTGTTGGGGTGTGAAGGCCAACTCGTTGACCACATCTGACGCGTTTCAACTTCCGGCCAGTCAAATGCAAATCCTGTTCCCTTATCCATCCGAGAATGACGGACAGAGTCATTTTAGCACGAAAGCCCCATTCAGCAATCGTTACTCTCGCGGTCGAGTCGCACAGGAGCTTCGTATTAATACAGTGAACTGGTTTGTTAGACGCTTGGCTTCCATTCGCCTGAATGTGAGTTTATGGCCCCTTTTCCTTTCAGCATGATATCCCCATAACATATCCTCACATGCAGACAGTTTGATATCGTAGCAGCTCAGGAAGAGTTAGTCAAACAAGCAGTACTTAGAGAGTGACCGTTTGGGGGGTTTATTTTGAAATGTGAAATTTTCCGCTAGAAATGTTTTACCACACACCGTGCAACAGTAACAGTAAAAAGAGTAAACCTTAGTTGTGAGAACCTTCTGCGGATTATGGGAATCGGGGATCTAAGCCCTGAAATTTGGAATAGTGAACCACATAATCCCAATTGGACAGACGTAGAGTTAAACCGGATCACGGAAATGCTGCATACCACTAAGTAAGGTGGCAGGATTTCAAATTCTGGCTATCGGCCCGGAATAGGCCTGTAGCAGCAATTTAGATCCCTCGAACTTACTGACGAGGCATCACTGAGAACTAATAGCAGCAGCTAAGAGATACGCGAAAGCCTAATTTCCTTCGCATCCACTTGTGGGAGCATCACCAGCCTCAGTGGGATTCGAGCCAACACGTGGACTACAATTACCTCTCTGTTCCGATGGACAACTAGTCTACACCTAACACATTGGTCTTTTAGTATAGAATTGCCCGCCCAACTTTCAGGGTCATGTGGACACACCAGGATTACATGAAACCTGCTTAAATCGTATGCCAAATGAAACTTAAATAATGTGTACTCTATTATAGTTCTTCTCTCTTTACTCAGCACATTTAGAACCTTTCTTTGTGGTAGAGATGCATTTGTTGAAAGTGAAGAATGAATCCCTGTTGACTTTCAGTTTAAGCACTACTAGTGCCTAGAATCTGTGATCATTGTTCCTTAATGCTTCACCGTCTTGCCAGTGTTCGAATGAAGATCTCCAATTTGCTTGCATATTTCGAATCCAGTCTATGATTGTTTCTCCACTGAATGTTAAACTGGATGCTAAAGTGACAACCAAAAGGATGATAGAAAATGTAAGCACCTAGGAGTCTTTTTCGATTGAACAGAGGATGATTTCGTCCAATCCAACCGAATTTATAGGTAATTGCTGTTTTGATGATTGGTTCAACTCTGCTTTCTGAGTTCATCGTTTGACGACCACGGCCCTCGATGTCAAAGGAATTCTAGACCTTACAACCACAATGTTACGGCAGAATGCGTACCTACCTCTGCCTACGCAGAGTACAGCTAAATTCATTTTGCAAAGAAGAAAGCACAACCCCGTGCACTGGAAATAACATTAACTCATCTATTTTGAATCTTCTGACTGTGTGAAGGGTACTCAATATGTAACGTTATTTGGATGTACTATCCATATTTTCGTATTTGACACTCCGACTTCAAAATAACTGTCACATCTCAAGCAGTACAATAATAACTAGCGTGTAACTATGAAACGCAATCGTCCTGGCCACATCGACGAAAGGTCATTGTAAATAGAATCCTTCGCAGTAGGTCTCCATATACCTGAATGGATGAATTAAATCACATCGTGAGGGGATTAAAGGAATCATTCGACCTGTGAAGTGGGAAGTATTTTTGCTTTCACTGACCTACGATTGAACTTTCCGGTTTTGGTCAACGGAAAGGACTTTAAGATTTCATACGCTACTACAGCTGTAAAACAACTATCTGACGCACTTGGCAGAAATTTATTGATAGTTTTACAAACCTAGTCATATCAGAGACTAGATCTAGAGTAATCACAAAATCCAGCTTCCGAAATTCACCTATTCGCAGCCGCACGAGGAAATGGCTATCTTTGAGGGACCTACCATGGTGAGATTATACACTTCTTCCGGATATTACCACGTGGATCAATTATCGTTTGCTGAGGAACAATTGCACCAGGCTGGTTCGTGAGGATGAACTGAAATACCAAGAGGCGTTAGTACAGAGATTCACCTCTAACCCCGAGCTGTTGTATAAGCACGTTACGGGATTCGGAGAGTAAAGTTTGGTATACCAGTAATAGGCTTCAGTCTTCAGTATTGAGGGCAGAGGGTAGAGCACGCGTGTAAATCCCATCACCAAACGTCAAACGTCCAGTCACAAGTGTTCGTTCCTCCATAGCCCCTTCAGGTGCTCATCCAAACGCCGTTTAAAAGCAGCGTCTGTCTTCTACTCCACCACAGTCGCTGGAAGGGAACTCCATAGGGTTGTTGACCTCCACGAGAGTCGGTAGACTAACGAAAAACCAACTGACTGAAGTTTCCGCAACGTGAGAGAGTGGCCATGCGTGAGGTCCTCTGTCCTTAACAGGAAATATTGTTGCAACTTCGGGCCTATATCACCTCTCAGAATCTTCCTCAGATGAGATCTCTCCTGAGGCGCCAATGCGCAACTGGGAACAGATCAGTAGCCCCTAGACGACCGTCATAGCTGGTTCCGCGTAGTCCAACAACGAGTCCAGTGGTAGCACGTTGTACACGTTCCAACTTAGCCAGTTCACCGGCCGTGCAGGGGTATGTCACCGCACCACCATACTCAAGTATTGGTCTGACATGGGAACCGTCCAGCAGTCTGGAGGCGTCCATCGTGAGCCGGTTGAAGGACCGCTGAATAGGCCCCAGAATGCTCCATGCGCTGGTGTAGACCCGATCGGTGTTTTCTCGGGTCTTTAGTGATGAAGTAACCATAACACCCAGGTCTCGTTCACACGATGTGCTGCGCAATGTGGTTCCCTGGAAGTTGTAGACTATCTCTGAGTCAGCACGCCCCAAATGCAGGTGAGCACACTTTGCTGTGTTGANCGCAGTGTGGTTCCCTGGAAGTTATAGACTACCTCTGAGGCAGCACGCCCCAAGTGAAGGTGAGCACAATTTGCGGTGTTGACTAGAAGAGCCCAGGTGTTCGCCCACTGAGCCAGGTTATTCAAACCCGCTTGAAGAATATTTCGATCCTCCGCACCCTCCATTGTACGTCAGATTTTGATGTCATTCGCATATATGGGGGATGGGATGCACATTTGACCGTTCAGGTCGTTCACAGAAACCACAATGAGCAATGGACCAAGGATCGAGCCTTGGCGGACCCCCCTGGAAGTGCAATACCACGCAGATAGCGATTTGCCAACAGGGACGCAGAATTTCCGGTCGATGATGAAGTCTCGCAGCCGCTTTAGCATGACCACACCAGCACCCAGCTTGTACAGCTTTTGCAGAAGGCGATCTTGCAGCAGATTTTAGAAGGCCTTGCTGAAGTCTACGAGGATGATGTCCGTTTGGCGTACTTTGGCCTTGTCCTTGGTTCAGCATTCACGGGCTACTGGCAAGTTTGAGAAACATGAGCGAACCGGTCGGAAACCGTGTTGTTGGAAGATGGAAGAGTTGCCGCCACTCCAACAGAAGCAGCTGAAATACTGAAAAATCAGTAATCCAGCCTTTTCTCTCCACCGCGGATTGAAGGTGTACGGCTACCTCCCCGGTAGCATCCTCCTCCTAAACCTTCGCTGACCAACGTTTCATTTACTACTGAAAACTTCAAAGCAAACTAATAGATTGCGGATAATGCACCCACAGGTGCGAAAAATATATACACCATAAATGTCTGATCTTTTTGGCGAATCACATATCCGAACCGCTAGCTATTCTCTTCCAACGAATGTTCGATCAAGCAACACTCCCACAATCGTGGAAACAAGAAGTTGTTTCACCCATATACAAAGGTGGTTGTGGTAGTGATCCCGCTAACTACCGACCTGTAACCCTGATTCCGTTATTATCGAAATTCATGGAGTCAATTGTGGCAGATTCTCTTACGGAACACCTCGAAAGATACAACAATCTTTCGTCAGCTCAACATGTATTCAGGCAAAAGCGATCCTGCCCCACCAAGCGGCTTCTTGTTCTAGATGAATAGACTAGAACAGTCAATAAAGAGGATGCGGTGGATGTGATTTCAAATGGGAATTCGTCGTGTATATAGCAAATGAAGCGGAAACTGAAAAGCTCGGAAGCACTGGACAGTCCTTTCGACCTGGTTGGAACTCATCAGCAGTGCGAATCCACCGACCCGACTGGGGAT